TCTCCGTGTTTTCAAGGTTTTACTTGTCGTCATTTAGGATAAATTTGTTTTTTGCTATACGCTGAATTCACAACACATCTACTTCTAACCTTCAATAATGCACAAATTTGTTGCCTCTGACTTAGCAGAGTTTTATTTGCTTGCTATTGTTTAGGATAGATCTGTTTTTTGCTAGAGCTGAATTTAACTAACATATCTAATATTTCTAACCTTGTAGTATGCTCAAGTATCCTGCATCTGTTTTAGTTCCAGAGTTTTCAAGCTTGACTTGCCGTCGTTTAGGATAAGTTTGTTTTTTGCTATACGTTGAACTTCCTAACACATACCTGCTTCTAACCTTGTGTAATGCTCAAGTTTACTGCACCTATTTTGGTAATGGTCAAAAAGCCATTGTGGACCCTTCTTATTTCACTGATGCCCAGATGCTCCAAGAAACAAAGAATACCTGCAGAAATCGTAACCTGTAGCTAGCGAGTTCTTTGTCAGTCATGAAAAGAGTGAAACGGATTTCTAAAGAAAACAGTTAAAAATGAAATGGAAAATGTCAAATAGCCGTGAAGTGTTTTAAAAGTAAACTTAATCAGACAACTTTCAGTTGTGATCAATTTCATTAATGTTTAATGATTATACGAGAACTCTGAAACAGTGAGTTAATACTTCAAGAAAGATTTGAGATCGAATGCTCACTGCAGTGGCGCCAAATTCAAAAAGCTGGAAAGGTGGGTGACGTGCTCTATTGTAGAAACCGCGACCTGCGAGCGCGGCCGCGGAGCGTGGTCCAAATCGAGTTGTGTATTTCGAACATCCTCCCTCTACAGCGTTAAAGAACATCTATATGCATTATCCGAGTCTAAGTCCTCTATACCGCTAGGAAAGATGTATACTAATTGGAGTAAAGAACTTATCGTATAAATCACAAGTCCTAGCGCTCAGAACGTTAGAAGCGTTGGATCACTGCCAAAAAATCAAGTTAGCCAGATGGAAGAGTGCATGGATATTGCCCAGATTAGCACCTCATCCTCTTGTGGAGAGATT